AGATCTTACTCCACAGTTTCATGGGTATCTGTGTTGCAAATTTATCCTCATTCCATATGGGATATGACCATAGAATCAACTAGGTTGGAAAAGACCTCTAAGATCATCAAGTCCAACCATTACCCCAGGACTGCCAAGCCCACCACCAAACCATGTCACTAAGGGCAAACTGATCTCCCCTCATGGCTGCCCCTCATGATCTCCACTCAAGAGTCACCTCTCATCTACTCCACATAGTGGCCTGCTCTGTAGAGCTGCCACTCCGCGTCTTCCCTCACAGCCACCCCTCATCTCCCCTCACAGCCCATGGCCACTCCTGCTCTCCCTTCATGATCTCCCCTTAACCCTCACGGCCATCTCTCCTCCCCCCTCATGACTGCTCACAAGCTCCCCTCACAAACATCCCTCATGACTGCCCCTCACAAGCTCCCCTCACAACTGTCCCCCTCGAGTGCCCTTCACAAGCTCCACTCAAAAGCTCCTCTCACAACTGCCCCTCACAAGCTCCCCTCATGACCGCTTCCTCGGCTGCCCCTCACGAGCTCCTCTCACAACTGACCCTCACCCCTCATGACCGCCCCTCCTCTCTGAGCTTCCCTATCCAATAGTTACTTACCTCACTACGTGGAATGAAAAGCTGAACGGCCGACAACTAAGCTATTCCAATTGAAACCTACTCCATCCAAATTGAGCAAGTGACTAGTTTACCCTCTCCAAAGTGTGTATGTCAGTGGACTTAGAATCATAGAATGTTTTTGGTTGGAAAGGACCTTAAGATCATCTAGTTCCAACCCACCTGCCATGAGCAGGGACACCACACACTAAACCATGTCACCCAAAGCTCTGTCCAACCTGGCCTTGAACACCACCAGGGATGGAGCTTCCTTGGGCAACCTGTTCCAGTGCCTCACCACCCTCACTGTGAAGAACTTCTTCCTTGTATCTAACCTAAAGTTCCCCTGTTTAAGTCAGAAGCCATTACTCCTTGTCCTACCACTAGAGTCCCTAATGAAGAGTCCCTCCCCAGCATCCTTGTAGGCCCCCTTCAGATACTGGAAGGCTGCTATGAGGTCTCCACGCAGCCTTCTCTTCTCCAGGCTGAACAG